CCATGATGCATTGAGTTTTTCCTTTCCAGTCACCTTTCTCACTCACTATGTGTTAAAAGACCTCTCTGCATTGAATCATATCTGTTATTAATCACTGGCTCTAGCCTTTGTCCTATCTTCCTCCTCTCGCCATGAATACAGAGAAAAAAACCCGTTATTATAGGATTGACATTACAATATAAAATGCCTTGAGGTGACTGTCGTTGTGATTTGGCGCCATATAAATAAAATAGAACTGAATAACATTTAATTAAATTGAAAATTTAGGGGCAGATAGCAGTGAAGGGGTGAACCAATGACTGTAGAAAACATGGACGACGCGACCCGCCTCCTACCATTGTGCAAAAATGAAGCCAAAATATCCCGCTTGTGGAGGCTGCCATCTTGCAAATTTGGAGCCAGAGTCTGCGCAGTATTGACTTGAGGTGGAGCGACTGTGTAACGCTCCCGCCCACACACCCGCTGGACGTGACCGCAAACACGCCCCCCTCAGTGTTGCCAACTTAGCAACTTTGTCGCTATATTTAGCGAGTTTTCAGACCCCCTTAAGGACTTTTTTTCTAAAAAGCAACTAGCGACAAATCTGGCGACTTTTTCTGGTGTTACTGGAGACTTATTTATGACGACTTTTTGACGTGAAAGCACGTATTGCTCTTACTCTCAACAAGCAGCGGTGCTGCCTTGGGCACCTCACCCGTGCCAAAGCGCTCACAGGTGGAGGATAGTCCTCCCTCAGCTGCTATCAGGGCAGGAGACGTTCACACCTGTGCGTCCAAACTGCAAATGAATCGCGCATGAGCACTGACTGTAACGCAGTCAGTGCTCATGCACTGCGATAGAGACGTTTTGGCTTCATTTTTGGGGAGCTGTCACGTCGTCCATGTTTTCTACAGTCAATGGGGTGAACGGGGCCACTGTAGCAGCCCCACCCTTCAGCATCTGGGTAACACACCTGCCCCCCCAAGGCCCTATGTGTGTGTTGATATTTTGTGAACCGCAATGACTAGAGTGTAATTAAAAATCAGGGGGTGTCGCTGTCCAGTACAGCCAGCAAAGCAACATTGACCTACCCAACCCACAACCCTAAATCAAGATCTTGCATGTATGAGCGATGTTTTGTATGAGGGAGTAGGGTGAGGAGGGCTGGGATATGTAAGAGGTAGAGGACTACCCCCAGAGCCAGAAACGGTGTCAGAAAAGGAAACCAGAAAGCAACTGGCTCAGTAGGCACACCCCGACCACAGGGGAGATGGTCGAGCTAACTGGAGTTTGTTGTAAGGCTCTTTTTTAGTTACATTTCTTGTTTACTAGAGAAAGTAAATCGCAGGTTTGAAGGCCTCTTTGGAATGATATCATACATTTGAGAACCTATATGTAAAAACTGAGGAAAAGTGCACCAGCAATGAGAGACACACAATATTTACTTAATGTTACTCAAAATTCCTTAAGGGTTGAACAATTAGGTCCCTTTCACATAGAAAGCGACAAGTGCAGGATGATCTGACGTCACTGACAGCATTTACTTGAAAATGTAGTTACAAATTTAAAGTCTTTAGATATAACATTCCTTAAATACAGTAACTGTAAAATATATGTTACAGATGTTAAAAAAACATTTTTATTTTTAATAATTACCAAGGATACTTCTAGTGATATTTTTAATTATTACATTTTAATACAAAGCAAAACAACCTTGCAATCTGTATCAGATGTTAGTATTAAACTGTTGGGTCTAAACTCAGACCCTGCTGTATCCAGGACTTATTCCCGTGAAAGAAAAACAAGGCAACAGTGATCGATTGTTTTACTTGCAAGGGAGGCCTCGTTGATGTCTACCACAAAATGACCCCAGCCTCCTCCCGCTGCCTTTTATTGAGAAACAGTTCACACAAAACACATCACAGCAAAGCAACGCCCACATGGTTCGAAGACAAGGCATTGTATGCATATGTGTGTGTGTGTGTGTGTGTGTGTGTGTGACCTCCTGCTGACCAAAGGGTCATAAAAGCAGGAGCAACATCACAAGAAACAGATCTTCCAGATAGGATGTATCTGCAATAAAACACTACAGCCCCCCACCCAGAACCTCGAGAATCTAGGGAGGGGGACAGTGGAATTCCTTTCATCAGAGTTGGCAACATTTAACAATTCACTCTAACATAAACAATAGTCCAAACTCAACTACATATAATAATTTTAAAAAATCCCCAAAGAAAATGCCACTAAAATCCATCTGATGTTAATGTTACAGATCTTACTGTATTTTCTGTATAAATGTCACGGTCTGCCGGGGCAAGCCGTGTGGGAATTATTTTGGACCAGGAAGTGGCAGCTCGGGTGCATGTGAGTTTAATGATAAGAGAAAATGCAAACAGCAGACGGTGCGGGTGGACATGAAACTGGAAAACCTAAACTGGGAAAAAGTAACAAAACAAACCAGAAAAGAAGATGCAGGGAGGTCCGGGGAAATACACAGAGAGACACAGGGAGACCAAGGGAAACAACACAGACAAACCAGCAATGAGGACGGGTGAACACACACTATAAATACACATACCAGTAATCAGGGGATTGGAAACAGGAGGGAAACACACCTGGGGGACATAACAGCTGACGAGGTAGGGGAAACGTCAACAGCACACACTGACATAAGACAGAGACCTTCAAAGTAAAACAGGAAACACATACACGTAATGACACAGACTCAGAAACGCAGACTAGACACAGGGATACACGGGCAGAAAGAAAAGAACACTAACCGAGGATGAACAGAACCAAAATTACAATAATAGAAAACACAAAACGCTGGGTCAAAAGGACCCAGGATCATGACAGTAAAACATCCAAAACAAAACAAACATCAAAACATTTTGTACAAACTTTGCAAATGCTGCATACCAATAAATGAATACACTTTTAAAAATTTCTACAGATTGAAATTGCTAAAATGACCAAACATTTATCAATATTACAAAAAACAACAAAATATAACATTTAACAAACTTTTGAAAACAGAAAATCCATAATGTCAGTTTATACTTTTAAAAGCTCAACACAATGCTACAGCATTTCAGACTAAACACATAATTTGGCTGTGAAGCATAACTTGACAGTCTGAGTTTTACATAATATCCTGTCATTCCACAAACATAATAGTTTAATTGCAAAAAGCTATCCATTGCTGTGTTTAACAAAAGATCAAACTACTCATCTTTTTATCGGTGCAAGCATGTTTCTCTGAGGATCAGTGAGCATTTTAACATACCACTGAACATAGGAATAACAATACCTGTGTCCAGGAATAAGTTGGAAAATGCAGTTTTTGGTCAAGGAAATTCATCACTTAGCACATCAGGTTTACTGTGGACTATACCAACATTAGATGACCTAATTAAATTATGCTTCAAATGGATTTAGCAACAAAGAAATACTTGTGATCAGCACATTAAGCGTCTGGACTTTGAAGAGACGGTATCATGAACCAGACCCATTCAGAAGCAAACAACCCATTGATCTGGACGAGGTGATAGCCTTTGTATCAATTTCAATTTCAATTTCTTTATTGTCCCACAAGGGGAAATTCGTTTAGCAGCAGGATATAAATAAACAGAACAATACTATAAAATAATAATGACAATAATAGTGATAGAAAGTCCAAGGACAGTTATTTGCCATTGAGGAGACAAGACGCAGTGGGGATAAAAGAGACCTGGAGTCTTTTAGTCCTCCTCACAGGAACTCTAAAACAGCGGCCGGAAGGCAACAACTCAAACTCACTGTGAAGTGGATGGTTCACACAGTTAATAATAGAATGAGTCTTTCTAAGCACATTTCTATTGTAAATGGCCAAAAGTCCATCTTGCCAGCGCCCTGAAATTTTGCTAGCAGTTTTTACCAGAAGTCCCAACCGATTCTTATTCTTCAGCGTCAGGTTACCAAACCAGGCAGCGATACAAAAAGACATCACAGATTCGATAAAACTTCTATAAAACAAAGACAACATCTCAGATGAGACATTAAAAGATCTCATTCTCCTTAAAAAGAACAGTCTTTGTTGAACTTTCTTAGTAGTGGCATCAGCATGAGATTCAAAACACAGTTTATGATCAAGTACCACACCTAGATATTTATAACTCTCAACGATCCCAATATCGGAAGTTTTAATGATAGTGGGTGATGAGCTATAAGAGGACTTCCTAAAATCAATAATCATCAATCAATATCAAGAACTATAGCACAATGCACAGTTGCAAGGATATTGCTGGCTATATCTTTGAGCTATTAATATGGAATTTGTGGTACAGCAGGACACAATCCACAATATTATTAAAGTAATTATTAAGTTTTGACCTTCAAAGAGTGCAGTGTATTAGGCTACAGCAGCACAGCACTAAAGGGACACTTTTTTCCCATAAATGTGTTGTTTTGATGCTGTGTCAAACAACCACTATTCATTTCTGTTTATCCATGTCATTCAAATACAGTATAACTTCTGGGTCCTAATAAACTGCTTGCATATATATTCTATTGGTCCTGCATGTCTGTCTTCTGTAATGCTTTAGGCCAACACGTTCCCACTCCCAAAGCGTAACATTTCACGCTTGTGACAAATCGTCAACATATTACGTTTTCGGCTACCCACCACGTTCCTAAATGACGACCTCGGAAAAATGAGGAAATATGTTCACAATACACATGTCCGCTCTTTTTCTTCAAATCGCTTAGAAACACGCTATTTAACATCATTAAAGTCCTGGTTAACCTCAGGAAAAAGGTTATGGTTAGGGCTAGGGATAAGGTTAGGTTTAGGGCTGGAATACAGGGCTGGAACGTCTATTACCGCGGGAGCGTCATTGCACTGGATTTCGGCCATAACCCGCCGCGTACCATAAGAACACCGAAGGTCTCCTTTCGCGTTCCTCAGGAACGCCGCGGGACGTGACAAAACGTCGGCATGTTACGCCTCGGGAGTGAGAACGGGCTGTTTAGGTTCATCTCACAATATGCTGCAGGAAGATTTTGTCTGAACTTCATTCAGAAGTTTCTCTATCATGTTACTTATTTCTGTGTCATGAATTTTCTGCAGGTTTTCTTTTTCTTCCTGATTGTTTGCAAGTTTTATTTGGTTCTGTTGTCTTGTCAGCAAGTCGTTTATTTTTGTGACATTTTCCCTGTTTTTGGTCACACATTTAACAAAGTCGTTGATTTGCACACGATGTTTTTCTCTGCTTTCTTTTTCATAGTGGGCTTTTAGGGCCTTTAACAGGTCATACTTCTCATCTTTGTCTTTCATTTGTTTCTCATGCTCTTCCTTCTGAGCTGCAAAGTCTTTGGTGTATTTCTCTTTGAATTCATTGAACTCCTCTGCTTGCTTTCTGGCTTCTTCCTCATACTTCATCTTCAGATTGTCCAGCTTTTTCTTGTAGCTGTCTTTTAATTCCTTACGTTCTTTTGCCTCATTTTCTTTTCTAGTTTCATCCTCTTTTCTTTTCATTTCACATTCTTTTTTTACATTCTCATATTCATCTCTAAGTCTTTGCTCATTTTGTTTTCTCTTTTGTTCTTCCTGTATTAGTTTTTCCAACCAGTCTACCCGATCCTTCTCCCGGACCGTATGTTCCATTATCATCGCCTCTCTACGCTGCTGTAGCTCCTGTTCTGATTCAGACTTTGATTTCTCTAATGCAGCAAGTTTTTCCTCCCATTCACTTTTCTCCAGTTTCCATTTGGTTTCTTCTTTTTCTCTTTTTTCTTGTGCTTTCTTCTTCTCGCTTTGCTCATTCTTCAGTTTTTCCTCCATTTCCTCGAGTTTTTTGTTTTTCTGTTGAATCTCCAGGTTTATTTTAGCACTCTGTTCTTTCATTTTTAATTTCATGGCTTGTTTTTCTTCCTCATGTTTTCTTTCCAGGTCCTCAATCTGTCTCTTCATCTCTTCTTCCTTCTCTTTTAAGATCCTCTGCACTTCTTTTTTAATCGCTGCTTCAGCCTCTTGCAGCATCTCATTGGTATAAAAAGATCCTCCATTGTTCTTCACCATGGTGTCAATCTTTGTTATCAGCTCACTGACTTGTGTCCGATTTTGTTCATCATAGTTATTGAACACATGGTATCTTTCTCCGCACTCAGAGATCAGCTTCTTAAAGGAGTCATTACATTCATCTCTAATGTATTCTTCAATGGACAGGTTGTCTTTTTTTAATGAATCTCCTCTTGTAAAAAGAATGATGGTGAACTTTTCTGAATTCTTCCCAAATCCTTCCTGGATGAGTTTCAGAGTCTCCTTCTCCTCTGGTGTAAGTCGACCAACCTGTAACACCAACAGGAAGACATGTGGTCCTGGAGCCAGGCAGGTCATAAATTTCACCGTCTCCTCATGAACTTCTTCACGTGACAAAGTCGAGTCAAACAGTCCAGGAGTGTCGACCACAACAACAGGACGACCGTCCACTTCACCCTGTTCTTTCTGACAACACTTGGTGACTGATTCTTGACTCGACTTGGCTTTAAACACTTTTCTTCCAAGGATGGTGTTTCCTGAAGTGCTCTTACCATTGCCAGTCTTCCCAATCAGCACAATCCTGAGAGGCTCTGGGCTCTGCTGCTCTTCATCACCTGCAACTTCAAGAGAAACCAAGTTATTTCAAATGATCATTATTTCATTGTTAGTTTGTCTATAAAAAATAGGGGATGGAAAATTTATTGAAATTTTTCTTGTATTACTGCAGTACTCACCAGTGATCATGCTTTTATTTTTCAATTCCTGGACTTCACCCTGTAGGATTTTACATTTTATGATTTGTTGAGATAATGTATTTATTTGGGCCTGTGCAAATGTTCGTGTTGTATAACAATGTGACTTCTTTTTAAAGGGCCTCATCTTTTCCACAGTCTCCAACAGTTTTAGGATCTGCTGTTTGTCTTCAATGTTAAGAACAACAGATCTTCCTCCACAGCCCTGACAGAGCTCCTGGATGTCCTTGCTTCTCTTCAAAAAATTATCAACAGCTGGAGCTGTTGGATCCGACTCCACAGTGAACAGAATCATGGTGAAGTCATCGATTAGAGAGCTGAACGTTTTCTGGATGGTCTTCAACTCTCCCTTGTCTTCGTCTCTCAAACAATCCACAGGTAGGACCAGGATGAAGGCATGGACACCCTCAGGATCACAGAGGGAGATACACCTGAGTGATTCCTCCATCACTGCCTCCTGAGGTTTTCCATACAAGGCAGGCAGCTCCACCAGGGAAACCCAACGTCCACACACCTCTCCCTGATGTTTAACACACTCTGATGAGTTGGAGGCTGAATGAAGCTCAGTCTGACCTAAAATGGCCTTGGCTGCTGACGTCTTCCCTGCTCCTCTCCTCCCACACAGAACCAGGTTCAGAGCAGCGTGTCTTATGGCAACTTCAGTGAAGCTGAGGAAAGCATCATAATTTTCTTGTACAACATTCTCGATGATTTCCATCAATGATTCGTGGTTCTTTGCAGTCATGCAGTAACATCTTTCTCTACAGTCTTTAAGGAGCTCAGTAAAAGAGTCAGTTGGTTTTCCTTTATGTGTGCTGATGATAACTGAGTGGTTAAAAGCATTGTTGCCTAACAAGCTCAGAATGAACATAAGTGTCTTTCTGTTCTTCTCAGTAAACATTGAAGGTTTCACTAACAGCAGCAGAACATTTGGTCCAGGAGGACAGAGACTCACACAGTCCTTCAGCTCATGTCTCACTGTTTCTACAGACAGACTAAAGACATCTGCAGTTTTCACAACAGTCAGAGAATTTCCTCTCCAGTCTCCTCTGGCAACTTCACAAGGTTTGTTTTTTCTTGTACCACACTGAAACTGCTCACTGCCAATGATGAAGTTACCTAATGTTGTCTTTTTGTCCTCGCTTTTTCCAAACATTAGAATCCTCAGTCGACATACTAAAGAAAAAAAGCATTGGGTTAGCACTCACTGTCATCACACAGGTTTATATACAATAATCTGTCAAAGAGAAACACTGATGAGTGAAGTGAAGTTTGTCACTTGACACTGTAGCTTGAATCCCACATGGACAACATAGTTTGTTTCTTTTTTTTTGTTTTCTTAACCTGATTTGTGTAGCACAGAAACAACAACACAACAATTCACACTAATGGAAAATAGCTAATCCCATGTCCTCTTCGTTTCTAGAGGGGGTAAGAAACCTGCTGAGAGTTCGTCCATTTTAGTTTGTGATGTAATATACTTTTCTCACTCTTAGAAATGGTCAGCTTTTTCTGGTCAAAATGGACCTGTCTGTCTTCCTTTCTCTTTCAGTGTCGTTACAGTGTCAGTAAAGTTTTTGATAAACTCATGTATTATATCATATTTTATTTGGTTATATTTAGCATTATTTTTTATATTCAACTAGAGGTTTCTTTGGTTTGTCTCTTATCTAAATACATCAATCTCAAAGTTTTTCTGATTGTAACTGTCAAGGTCCTGGGTCAGTGACCCAGTGTTATTATTATTATTATTATTATTATTATTATTATTGTTGTTGTTGTTGTTGTTGTTAATATTGATCTGTGATTTCATCATGGTTTATGATATCAACCAAAATATTTGATATAATATTTTGGTTTCTGTTTTGAATTTCTAGTGCTCAAGTTCTTCTCTGCTCTTTAACACTTTAAAGCCGGTCAGAGCCAGTGTTCTGCATGCTCCGTTTTGCGTAACTATTTTTAAATCCCGGTAGCTCTGCAACCACGTGAGCTAGCGCAATAATTTTTTTTGCATATGAAACCGGAGGAGTTGT